GTCATTAAAGTTACATGGAAAATGGCAGGCTACATACAGAACACTGATCAGGTTTTCCCTGTTAAAAAAACAAAAAACAATACAGAAAACCAGTTTGTTCGCGTTTCAACATTTCAGATCCCTTTGACATTATGCTACACTCCAGCCTTGTCAGTAATGCAGAATTCTGCAAAGGAAAGAATCAAAGATGTGCAAACAAAGCAAGAACCCAGGGACATGCTCCTATGTGCTGACACGCAGCTGCACCGAGAAACAGAAGTACAGACTCAAAGCAGCGCTCTGGAGTCTACCTAGCAGCTTCTGATACTGAAAGCACGGTCTATGGTTTGTATTAGATGCTTGCATAGTTAGTAAGTGCATGCATTTGGGTACAGCGAGAAAACTGCCATGCAAAACTGCCTTTATTACCGAGAAAAAATGGTTGATCATGCTCAAGTTGCAGCTTTGGAAAGCAAACATCCCTGCAGCTAAGACGGATGAGGGCACTTACAGTGGAATAAGTGTACTGTAATTAAGCTGCTAATTTTCTATCCTAAGCATCTTTTTTTATTTAGCCGTATTTGTTAAGTTTGAAAGGGTTAACAATTTATACACCCAAAGTGAGACACTTACAAGTTACAGAGAACTGCAGGCACCAAATTGTCTATCAAATGTGATTAATACAAATAAAAGGTGCCTCTTTAATACACATCATTGAAAATGTGCTTATAATTTGTATACTACTAAACACTATCCAAAAGACACAGCCCAAAAAGGGTAAAAATATTCTTTAGAGGTGACTCCAGCAGGAATCTAGCACTGGAATGAAGGCACTGCTTTCCTGCACCCAGAGGGCTGATTCTAGGAACAGGAGCAAGTGTCAGACTAGAGATATGGTGTGAAATGCAAGTTACACACGGCCGATGCAGGTGAGTTCAACCTAAAGTTGATTGGAAACACATCATAAAGCCCTTCAGACGACTTGAAGCCTGCTTTCCCTTGGAGCTTGCACAGCTGTTTGAAAACAGGAACAGTGCTGGACCTCCCCCTTTCAAGGCATTTCTCACCAGCGTGAGGCTACCCTGTAAACCTTTGCTTCCAGGTCATCGGCACTGGGGTCCTGGACTTCACCACTCCAAGCCAGGACAGCTCACCCCGCATGCGGCCGCACCACGAGCCGTTCAGCACACACCGTGGCTGTGCGTGACTGGCAAAGCAGACCCGGACAGCAGCCATTCTCATCCCACTCAGATGCCCCGCCATGAGACCTCCAGGCCCCATGTGCCATCACCCAGGGGCAGGTAGAGACCCCTGGCCAGCGGTGACCTTCAGAAGATGGCAGAACCCACCTCCTCCACAGACACAAGTGCTTCTGAAGCCAAATGTGAATTTTAAGAAAAGAGGTGACCATCTACAAGTGGCTGCTTCAGAACAGCCTCAAGCCTTCACTGCTCTAAGGATCAATACACAAAGCCAAGGTGGTGTTGATATCTAGGACTTGGAAGATCCCTCTCTGGAGTGTTCCCTAGTACCATGCCACATCTTTACATCTGGACAACGCAATACACATGGACAAGAATTCCTAAGCATGAAAGGGCTAAGAAATAAGTCTGCTTTAAAGCAAGGAGAGAAGACTGATGTTGCTTTTCCCCAAATCACTTTAAGCAGGGCCTGCAATAACCTACATTCAGTTTTAGAAAGATTTACTCTACATCACTGATGGAGCCATGACTTTAACAGCGACGAGGCTTGGTTTTACACTCACAACGAACGTTGTTGTTTCCTGGACCCACACCCTTCAACCCTCTCCTGTGCAAGGAAGTTCATATACTACTGGAAATCTGTGAGAACAAAAAGCAGAGATGCAGAGTGGCAGCAAACAGCTGCTTTCCAAACTGCTTTGTTACAGAATTGACGCAGCCACAAAACAGGGACCACACTTTCCAGGTCCTGCACGGGCATGCTTCGCACGTTTTGCCCGGTGCGTGCCTTATATTCAACACAAACTACAGTGCACCCTTGTAAGTCAAAGCATTTTGCTTGACGACACCCTAAGTCAAACCCTCCTGAGCCAGAAAACACACCACATGCTGGCAGCCCACCACAGAACGGCAGCATCCTATCTGATCTAAGAGGAGGGCGCTGTCAGTATGGCCTCTTCTGCCTGCTCCATGTTCATTTGAGGAGCGAGGAGTCTGTGCACCAGAGCTGCTGTTCTCGGAGGGACAGGTAGGAAATCCAGTTTGGCAGCATATGCAGAGTAGATAGTGCTGGAGCTGGCAGCAATTTCCGTCAGGAATTATGGGGAATACACAGAAAAAGAGCTAGATTACATATCACGGGATTGCAGAGGTTTGACTGCTTTTAACATCAGCTGCTGGAACACTTGGCACCCAGACCTCCCATTCCCATTTTGTCCAAATGACCATTCTCATACCCCAAATACAAACATACTGAACTGGCGTTCAGCTAAAACACCGATTTGGACATGGCTTCAAATTTCCTTCAGTCCAGGCATGCAATACAGGAGCAAAAAACACCTCAAAAACCGTACACCAGCGTCCAGTTTAAACTTCTTCAGTGAACGATGGCATGAAAAGAAAATGTCATTTGATAAAAATAACCTTTCACAAATGTCCCATGGTAAAATGCACAGAAAACTAGGTTCTGTATGTGAAAAGATACCAAACCAAGTTAGCACTAACTACCAGAATTACATTCTTGCTAGAAGAGTTGTTACAAGAGAAGAGCCAACACAGTGCAAGACCTTAATACAGATAAAACCTTAAACAAATACTTCAACATCAACATTTCAGGGAGTAATTTAAGTACTACAATGTGAAGCAAGTCTTATCTGCTCTGCTGGATATAACAAAAAATAATCCAGGAATAATCCAAGTCATACATTTAAGAAGCAAGTAATGCAATCTTTGCTTCTTGTTGCTGCAACAAATAAGACTGAAACAATACCCGGGAGAAGAAATGCATCAAGAAGATGGTCATGTTCAGGTTTAAAAACATAGTCCAGGGCACAGAGTCCAGCACATTGTAAAAACATGCAGGCTACTGGCATTGCTTCTGGGCTGCATGAAGGTAAGTACTGCAGAACGGCATCAGGACAGAGCAAGGGTTACACTGCAGGTGGGCTCACCGTCACACACCGACCAGAGCTCTGTGGCACCCCTAGCTCAGCTCCACGCACACGCTGCCTTTTCTCCAAGGTGTCAGGTACCCCCAAAACACTTCTCTCCAAAGCTTGCTGCAGATGTGTGGCGAGCCAAGTACAAAAAGTGATCAGGGAGCAGCAATGTGCCCAACAGACCTGGGGGCAAGGCTTCTTGCAGGGTTGTCGGCACATCAGCTCAAAAGAGGACGTGGAACAGACTAGCTCAGAGTCACTACTTGTTTGAGGGCTGTTTGTTACGGCGACAAAAAACACATACAAATAGGTCTGTCCACAAGCTAAGCCTGCAGAAGCTTTGCCAAACACAACTGTATGACAGGCAAAGACCTCATTCAGAAGACAAGCGTGCCCAGCACACTGCCCAGCTGCTGCATGTCGTGACCTACACAACAGATTGCTGCTGTACAAAAAGGATAAGCAGCACATTAATAAAAACTCATGAAATCAAAAATAAAAAAAAAATATTACACCACATGTATATAAGAGGACTTGAGGAATCCACCTTTTAAGAGGAATCTTAAAGAACTTGAGGAATCTCCCCTGTAAGAAGGGCATGTAAACAAAGACGTCACTAGATGCAGTGTTTTAACCCTGATAGAGACTGTCATCCAAACAAGAACGGGGATCGCTTTGCTAAGGGACCTGTGGCAGCCAGACCCGCCGGGGAAGGTGACAAGCATGCCGAACGGAGGAACGTAGCAGCGCTCTGGAGAATGTGAAAAGTGCTGCACGGTATTTTGGTACAGACCCTCCAACCCACACGAAGAGGTTTGTTCAAAGCATGCTCAGAGAAGGCAGAGAAGACAAGACGACACTTGGCTTATCTAAACATTACTTCTATAAATAACGGATGCTATATTCACACCACTACGATTAAGCATCTGAGCACATTAGGAAACGCTTCTTCTTAGGAGTTTGAACAGGGGTCCTAACAACACCACTGCCATTCAGGTGCATGAAGACAGCTCTCCTACGGCACTGCAACCATCTCCCGCCTAGCACTTTCACAGGTATGAGCTGGCAACCAGCTGCTGCTTACTGGTTTCTTCTGTTGCTTAGTGTAGTGTTTCAGAAGAAAGAAAGTAATTAAAGAGGACAGGGTAGAGGTCGCCTTAGGTATGGACAGAGTAAAACTCTTCATAGACATAGCAACGAAAAATGCACGTTACATTTCATGAAAAAACCCAAAAAACTTTCTGTTGTTGGAATGCAAAACCAAAAATCTATTACAGACACACGTACGCATGGACACACAGGTACCTTTCTGTCCATCCACTAATGCTAGTCCCTCCTATACTGGCTGAGTATATACCTGAGAAACAACATTAGTGTTGAAATATTGCCCTTTAGAAAGCTTGAAAAATGGAGGGGAGCAGGGAGAGAGGGTTGAGAGAGAGCATAAGAAGCGGCAGTCTCTCCAGTTTCCTTCGCATCGTCCACAGCTCAGAACAAGGCCATACACCAGCGTGGACACAGCCTGCTCAGAACAAGACCAAAGGAATATCAGTTCACAGCTCTACAAAGCACACTAGTGTCAGTACAACCGGGTTTCAGATTGCAAACCTTGAATCTGAAGAAAGTTGTTGCATTTTCTATAAAGAGACTCCTGTACAAGTGCTATGGGACAGCTGCATTCATGTTCAACAACGACTCCAGCTAGACTACTTGCATCAGTGCTGGCTGCCTGTGGCTATTTGGTTTGATGGCAGAATCAAAAGGCGCTTTAACAACTTGCAGTTAACTTCTCCTCAAAACATACATTAGGCACATGAACAAAAAAACAAGAGCTCAGAATAAATTAGCTTCTCAGCAGAAAAGACACCTGGATTGCAGCATTTCACTGAGGTTCCAGAGAAGGCCGTACAGACACCTGCATGCTGGAAGGTAATTTTTTCAGCGGCTTTTCAGCAGACTGCTTGCCACTGGAAGGAGGAGACTGGACTCCGGGATCTAGCTGGGAAGACTTGGACTTGCGACTGGATAGCAGAGAATGTTTGTTGGGTGTGGCATCTTTTGGGACAAGTTTTTCTTTTGCGGTAATGTTGGCATTGGTTTGAGAGGCTGGTGGGACAACACCTTTCTCCGATTTGTCTTCCAGCACATTTTTACTGCCTGACTTGGAACTGCCACTCGCTGTCTTTTTTGAGAGCATTGTTGTCTTCCCCAGGTCTGCGGACCTCCGGGTCTCCTTCTGCCTTAAGGCTGATTTAAAGAAAGACAATCCTTTCTCTTCTGACTTGCTGTCCCTCTTCAAACCAGAACGCACACCAACATTTGGAGACCGCAGGTTGGCCATAGAGGAACTCCGCACATGCTTGCTGTCTACTGCCCTGCTGTCACTCCTAGAGTGACTTATTCGCGGGGAGCTCGTTCTTGAACTGCTGGTAACGCTCGTTTTATCTGACCCCAGACTTATCTTAGAGCCCTCCCTGCTGAGGCTTCGGTCTGAAGTCCGGCTCTTCCCACTAGAAGAGCCCTTAGTCAATGAGCCTGATGGGGTTTTCTTGGCAGCTGTGGAAGATGGAGAAGAACCTGACTTTTGCTTCTGTTGAGCCGATGGGACAGCCACCTCAAGGGGCTTCGTGCTATGGTCCTTCCTAGCCTGAGCAGGAGCAGGAGACCCATGTCGCCCACTGGCCCTAGAGGAGTCCGTCTTACTTCTAGACCGGGAAACTTTCTGGGAACTCTTTAGTGGAGGAGGAGAAGAGTGAGAGACTTTGGTCTCTTGGGTAGATAAGACTGTCCTTCCCTTCCTTAAACTTTTGTCTGGCTCAGAAACTCCCTTGGAGCTGTGAACCTTCTTAGGGGTGCCATCTGCCTTCTCTGCAGCCAGCCCTGTCCCACTGGGGGCTTTCACCTCCTTGACCGGAGAGCTATCCACAGAATCACTCTGATCAACAAAGGCGATTTGATTGTTGTTATCAAAAGGGTCCAAAGCAGGGTGATTCCTGTCTGGCTGCACAGAGCTTTTACCATACCCATCTGAAAGATCTGAACTAGATGTCCTTACAACAGACTCTTCCCTGAATGCCCCTTCCATGACAGCCAAGGGGGCTCTGCGAGCCGTCCTGTGCTCTCGCCGACTGCCATCACAGGGCTCCAAGTAGCTGCTAGAGAGATTCCTCAGGCTGCCGAAGCAAGAGGTGGAGACTTTATCATCAGCAGCCTCCCCGATCTTCTCCAGAGTGGAAGCAGAGGTATGTACAGGGGAATCTCCAGAGAAGCGTGACGGAGAGTTGGAGCGCAACTGCAGTTTTGCAGAAAGCGACCACGAGGGCCTGACGCCATTTTCACTCACTGCCAGTGGGCTGGTGACAGAAGATCTAGATGACAAGCTCTGACGCTGGACACTCCTTACAAAGGGACGAGTTGAAAATCCTCCTGCAGAGAAAGAAAGAAACATCCTCAGTATGAAAGCCAAGCCTGCAGTCAGTTTATCCATCCACAGACACTATTTCTATAAGCAAGTCAGACAGCCCACCTACACCACATTGCATGCCTGTCTCTTCATGCCTGCTGCAGGCACAGCTTCTTGTTTAGAAGCTGAATAAGGAATTCAGCAACTGTTATTTGCTAGTGGTCACGGAGAAGTAACTCTCTCTGAAGCCTACAACTGAAAATCTAGATTTTCGTTTCATCCCCAAGCAGCAGGAGACCAAACACAGGTTTTGTATCTTGGAAGTCCTTGAAGCTAGCAATGAGTTCACTAGCTATGATTATGCTCCATTTTCCTGTATGAAAGAATATTTTCCCATACCATCCTGTAAAAGGCAAAGTAGGACTCCTAACTCTTTAAATAAAGCGATGTATTTGTATTTACAAACACAAAGTACAACAATAAGCATTTTAGAAATGCAACTACCATGGATAGATCTGACAGTTACCACAACACTGCTGCAGGGACATCTCCATACCTGCCTCAAAATGCCCAGAGTGACCCCTGAATCTCCACATTTTCAAGAGTTATAAGGCACTATGTGGAAAAACCAGGCAAAGCCAGGAACTGAATAGTTATTTGCACACGCAAGTGAATTTGTGTATCTTCACGCCTCCCTGGGAACAGTCGTCTACAGCACGGCAGCAGACAATGAGTACCTATATTAAGCTGTAGTGACATGTCAGCCTCCCTGCAAAGGTGCTGCAGTGAAACCCAGAAAAAGCACAAACCTAAAAAGTTCTTGATTGAGAGGTTTAGTTGATGGTATTTCCTTTCTTTGAAAGGATCCTTAAGGTTCCTGCCCTGCTCTTCTCCATCCTTTCACAGCAGAGAAAAGCTCACCTGTGCCAGAAGCCATCTGCTCCTACTGACACAATGCCTGCCTCCCCCAGCTGCTAGAGGCACTGTCCCTTGTAACTACATATTTTGTAGCTATCTTAGTTGGGATCTTGAAACAGAAAGACTAGTGGCCCAATATCCCACAAACACTGCAGTGCTGATACACACCATCATCTTCACTCCTTTCCCCAGTCAGCTCTACCGATTCTGAGAGCGAAGCCAGAGACGTGCGCCGCGATGATGCTGCCGAAGCAATGCTGGGCTGCTTGCTACCAGGAAGACGGCTGACCCAGTGCTCACAGAGTGAGGAGCTTGTGGAGCCTGCAAGGAATCAGGCACAGACATCAGGCCAGTAGTGGGCAGCTGCAGAACACGTGAAACCTTGGAAGGCCACTGAGAGTCAGGTAGGTGTTGCACTGCACTGGCTTCGACAGACACCCAGAGTCTGGAGCTGGCCCACACAGCCACATCATCCAGATACTGCTGAGAGAATAAGTCATTACTCTTATGAAATAGTTACAGTCATAAGTGAAAGACAGAATTGCACTTGTCCCAGCATGCTGTGAATCAAAAGAATCAGCGCAGCACGCACGCGGAGCGCAGTCCTTGAGCTGCCACAAAAATGCAGTGCAAATCCTTTCCTTTCCAACGGCAGGTCACCAAGCCCGCATCTGTCCCCAGCTCACCCCAGATTCAACCAACACGTTCAGTTGCTGGCTGCCTACCCGAGACCAACAGCACTGCTGGAGGGAATGAGCTAGTCACGTTTTTATGTCATGGTTTTGACAAGGGCAGCTCTGAGCAGAATTACCCATGGGGGTGGAGAAGGGTTCCCCCATCTCCACAGCCTCTTTGCACAACTAGCCTTAACAGAAGAGGTGGGAGTTTCCCACGGCCTCTGAGGCACAGCAGCAGACTGAGACAAGCCTCGCCGAGTTCTGGGACAGAGAGTGGGGGCTTAAGCAGAGCTGGGCAGAAAATTCTTCAGAAAGACAAACTATCCACAAAAGACAAACTACAACCACTCCTTGACAATGCCAGCGGGGCTTACCTGCCACAGAGCTGTTAGCAGACCATGATGGGATTGCTGTGCGTCTCTGGTAGAAAAGAATATAAGCTGTCTGCTTGCAGACTTCGTTTTCAGAAAGCTGCTGAACATCACTGTCATCAAAGCAGTACCACTGGCCATCAACTGAGTTTTTGCAATACGCTGAGAGAAAAATACATTACTATTAGACTTTCCTCACTCCTAGTACTCTCAGGTTTGCTGTGTGATAACTTAAACATGACCTTATCTGCTATGATGGACTCAGAGGAGAATAAAAGGAACAGATTCATTCATGCAACACATCCTCTTTCAGTCTGACTGGCAAGATGGAGGCCTGAGGCCACCGGAATACAAAAAACAGCTCATATTTCAGGATTTTCTTTGTCTAACACTACTGCTCAGAACAGAACACCATTTGGGGTGGCTCCATTCACTTCACATTCTGTTACTTGTGGCAGTCTGCCTCCATCAGTGAATCTCCTTCTGACTGAGCCCACCCAGGACAACACAGCCCAGAGACATATATCTGAGGGCAAAACCAGACACACATTTTCTGGGCTGCTGTGTGAAGTCATACAGATCCTAAGAACCACCAAGCAACTTTGTCTATCTCTGGCTGCTCTGGGAGCTGCTGGAACAAGCAGAGAGGAGTTCCTAAACTGGCTGTGAACATAGGCAATGTGCAAATGCTTCCTATGTTCAACAGCCTCTTGCAACCACAGAAGTTCTGCGTTGAGCGGCCAGGAGCATTTCTGAAACGTGAAAGGCCAGTTACATTACTCTGAAGGAAAAAGAAAGATAGCAGAGAAAGAAATGTACGGCAAAACATTTGGGGTCAACAGGCATTGTTCCATTCCTCAAAGTCATAAAAGTTACCCCTCCGGTATTAAGTTAGTTGGGTTAGGTCCTTTTGTCAAGAAAGATGAAGAAGTTATGAACACTCAATAGAAAGATATAATAGTTTTCTTTCTGAAAGGATCCAACATGCATAATGTTGCAGGATACTTGCCTGTATAGTGTCCCCCTTGCATGGTGCCATGATGATTGCAGACAGCATACAGGTCATAGATATAGTCCTCAGGATCCCTTCCGAGACCATAAGGTCTCCTCCAGGGTGACCAGTGAGACGGCAGACTCCAGCTGCTCTGACTGCGTTTCACAACATGAGGAGTCATGTCCAAGCCACTCAGGGGGAATTTAACCATGTTTTGAAGTTTCATCCTTCGGTCTCCTTCCTATGTAAACAGAGAATAGCATGAGCTGCAGTGGCAGCGAGGCCACCATGCTTTGGGAAAACAAAAACCCAGGAGAGGAATGCATAGGGCAGAACAGCTGCTTCTGAAGAGATGGTCAGGTCAGGTCACTCCCTGGCTGAGAAGCAGTCCTCCAGCATCACTGCAGACATCCTTACCTGTCTAAACCTTTTGAGATGTATGATGAGAACATCAGGTAAGGTCCAGAGGCTCAGTGTGATGCTACCCTGCTGCAGCTGCTTGCAGTGCGGGCATCGCCATGCATCATCTGGGGCAAGCTACAAGGAAGAGGCATGAGTGGATATTAGTTTCCAAATTCCAAGGCAGCTTTTACTACACCACTGTTCCTCTGCTGCCCCAGGCCCAGTGCAGGCACTGACCCCTGCACCCCATCTACCTCCAGCATTTATCAAGCTCATTGGAAATGCAGGGTTCCCAATGATGCTTTTCAAAACAGTGACAAGCAGAGAGGCACTTCCCACTGCAAGACAGAATTCAGCTAGTGCTGCTGTGCAGAGAAGCTATTTCCACCTTATAAACCCCAATCCCTTTGAAGTGCAGAAGAAAAAACAAAGGCAAAAAGCAGGCAGGCTTAGCAGCCTCAGTAAGAGTATTCTCACAAAAAAAAACAGCAACAAAGAAAGAATCAGAACAGAAAGAAGACAGGTGTACTTTGAATTTAATCTCTGACATCTCACTGCCCTCTGGAAACCCTCTTCCTCCCTATGTCCCAATGGCACAGACTTACAAACTGCAGAGCTTTTCGCTGTCCACCAAGGATAATGTGTCTTTTCAAAGACACAAACACAACATGCACTTCCCTCCACAGCCCAGTGCTCAGAAGACTCGGAAGCCAGAGAGCTTTAAGCTGTCAAACAACTTTTCCCTCACCTCTGAAAGAAGCGACAAGAGAGGCTCCAAAATTATTAAAGCTCAATCACGGGTCCGCAGTCCACCTCTAGGACCATCCCTTTTTACAGCAGATTAGAGACCTCTGGCAAAGAAATGCAGATTGCTTACGTGTTCCAGGCAAGGGCCAAATCAGACCCATCTCTAGTCCGCCCTATGGCTTACTATCTCTCCTGACACATCCGC